AATTATCAACATCAAATTAAACAAGTACAATTACAACATCAACAGTTATCTTCGTCTTCAAAATTGTCTAATTGAAATTATTTTTGCTAAAGCTTGATTGATCTTTTGGTTATATTATTATTATTACTATCATCTTTGTTATTATTTAACAGAAGTGGATTTAATTTGGATATTCGATTTTATATTATAAATGTTAATTTTAAATTACTGAATATTAAAATATTATATTGAAATATTATAGTATATTTGTTTCGAGTTTAATTGTATAAAATAAATAATGGTTGATGATGATATAAATCAATTATGAATAATTGTGAAAATAACAAGATATAATCGAATATAGATGTTGTATGTGAAAATTATTTTTAAAAAAGAAAAGAATTATGTATTGAATTTCATTCATTGAATCTTGGAATAAAAGTATATCGGCAGCTTCCATCAATATCAGATCTATATATATTTAGTACAAGTTCCATAAACGAAAATTTATTAAATGAATATGTTTATTAATTATTAAACTTTTATTTTTACTCTTTTTATTATAGAAATGATCTTTGAAATCTCAAGAAGATGAAGTGTTTTTGGTAGTTGTTGTATTTTTTGTGAGATTTCGATTCTTGCAGCGGGTAATGATAGTATCTATTGTACTTGTGACGACGACGACGACGACGATGAATCATTTAAATTTTGTTCTTGTTGTTACTTTGATTTTCTTTTTCGTTTTAATTGTGAACTAATGATCAGGTTTAACAAACTATGACATATATGTTCTGAAGCACATATTTATATTATGAATCCTCATTTAACATTGTACTTGATCTGTTATACTTTCTAACCATGGTAAATTCACTGCACTATCATTATCACTATTGCCACGCTTAATGTTACCACTGACATCACTATCAAGGTTGTCATCGTTTTTATTATCAAATTTCTATCAAGTCTTTTAAAAATTTTTTTTACTAATCCTAGAGTTAAGTCTTTTATTGATAGCAATGTATGGAAGTTTCCTTGTTACCTGTCCTCTTCATCATCATTAATTGAACGATTACTCTGAACAGAGGAGCTACTAGTTCTATATGTCTAGAAATAAATAATACAAAGTCATCTATAAACACTTTTTAACAATCATGTTCTTCTCATTGGCTGTACTAATTACACAGGTAATTTAGTCATCCAAAAGGATTTTGGGAAGGAATACAATTACCTACCACCTGCCTCGATTATATTATTACAATATCATTAATACAGAATATCATTTTGACCAAGGTGTTATTTTTATTTTTTATTTTTATTTTTAATATTAAAATTTATAATTTGAAAAAGGAATCAAGGATCAAGTCTTAATTAATAATTGGTATTTTTTATATATGTATGATAAAAAATTAGCGTGAAATAGTATGACGCGTGATCACTCGCCCAGGTGAAGAAGATGGTTCTCGATAACTTTTATGAGGTTTAGGAACTTTTTTAATACCAAACAGAGCAGGGTATTTTCTTTTAGCATGTTCATAAGCTACTCTACGCTCACTCAGCACAAATTTAATTCTTGCCATTGATTTTTGGCACTAACAAATAAAAAACCATTTAGAGAATATATACACTCACATTAAAAAAAATTTTTTAAAAAAGAATGGATAAAGTTGTCAACCCACCTTATATGATCTTTCATGATGTCTATTGATCCATTCAGGATTAACGACTTTACGCCATCTTCTAGCTTCTTCATACATTGTAGCCAACATATTACGTTCTTTCAACAGTATATACCAAAGCCTGTGAAGATCTTCAAAGGATTTGGTACGAAGTACTGATGCTTGCCATGAATTACCTTTAGTCAAATGGGGGGGTTTTTTTTTGAAGAAAAATGATAAATTTACATGTTTTTGTGTGCGTTATGGAGATATGTTAATTAGCAACCAATTAGAATCCAAATAAAATCCAATTAATCCAATTATTTAATGCTCTTGATAAATATTCTTATATATTTGCGTGTGTATATATTTACCAACAGGATAAAGCTCGTTAGTCCTAGGTAAAGGATTAGGACTATCAACACCGTTTTGAAAGAATTCATATAAGCCCACGACACCTTTCCCTTTACTTGGTTCGAACCTATTTTTAACACTAGAGGTTTGAAAGGAACGACGTATGATACTAGAGAAATTGCTCATTAACATAATTTTATCACTGGAAATATTATTAAAATCACGTGAAAGCATTTTAATTATTTTTACACATTAATTAATATATACAGTAAAATCTAAAAAAATAGAATAATATATATATATATATATATAAATACTTTGAAAAAACCAGCTACTTTTTTTTGAATTTTTTCTTTTGCTCATTAGAGAATTTAACATTTACAATACTTCAAATAATTAATAATAATAATAATATATTTTGATTACGAAAAGAATTACTAAAAAAATGGTTGCTTTACATCAAAACAATTCTAATTACCAAAATAAAATAATAATTATTATTATTATAGATAAATATATATATTAAATGTCTATAAATTAAAAATGGAAAAATTCATCCTCGCTATAATTTACAATTGCGAAGCTTCTTTATCCAATTTACCCAATATTTCTCCTATCCTTCCCAAACTAAATTCGTCTTCAAGATCATTATCAACTTCTCCCAATATAGTTTCCACAAAATCATCCACTTTATCAAGATCAATTTTACAACAAGTGGAAATAATTTGTTTGTATTGCAACTCTGCACTTAATGACTTCTCTTGTAATTTTTCAATTTCACGTTGAAGTAAATCTTTGTCAACTCGATATGCTGATAATTGAGCTTGAAGTGTTTTCAGTTCTTTTTCAGACATTTCATTTTCGTTGCCATTACTGGTGGGAGTAATTTCAACGTTAACAGCCGAACCTATTACTGCCTGGTTTGAATTGTTAGTTGATATTGATGATGACGGTGTTGCAATTGTTGGTTGGGTAATTGATATGGATGGTATGTCAAATTTTTTATTTTGAAACAATTCTATTGATGATAGTGTTGATGATGGTACATTTGATGATGGAGGTGGAGATAGTATATGTGTTAGTGGCAGTGGTGGCGGTGGTGGTGGTGGTGTTGTGGAGGCAGATGATGTTACATTATCCAATAAAGTTCTATTCACTGACGATGATAATGGTGATGATGAATCTAAATTATTATTCTTATTATTTGCAGTAGTTGTGGATTCAGCTGATTCATTATAATTATTTAAACCATTTTTTATTATTTGATGTGGATGTGGATGGGAATTTATTGGCTGTGGTTGGTGTAATTGTTGATGTGTTTGTTGTGATAATACTTGTGAAGAAGTAGTATTTATTAGGTTGTTAGTATCAATATTATTCTGCTGAGGAATGTGTTGGTGTAATGTCATATATTAGTATTTTTTTGCAGATGATTTCTAAATTTGTAGAAATCTGCACTAGTTACAGTAACCTATTACTATCACATTTTTGGAAATAATTTACAGAATCATCACAAATGTATCCTAATAAGAAATGATATTCGATTTTGAAGGCCAAAATTGAAATGTACTACTTTGATTTTTCGGTTTTTTTTCCGGCAAATTTTATTATTTTCCGGTAAATATTTTAAGAAAATTTGTGTGCTGCCCTAAGATTATTCGGGGTCCTGTTTTTACAATATTAAGGATTAACTTTTAAAGTTTCACATATCGTTTTAAGTTGTTGGTTGATTTGCGTGTTGTGTATTGTGTAACAAAAATAAAATTCTTTTCCCGTTATCATTAAAAAATGCTGCCATCAGTTAGTACCGAAGAACAAACAATAAAATTTACAGGACATCTTGGAAATTTTAGTCTAGAGCATTAGAAAAGCTTCGAAAAGACTTGACTATGAAGGTTTATTTGACGAGAAACGACATGATGATGCTTGTTTATTCAGGTTTTTAAGAGCAAGAAAGTTAAAACCAAAAAATGTCTATTGATTGTGAGAACTGGAGAAAGATTTTGCGTTGATGAAAGATAGTTGACCTGTTTATATTGAAGAAATTGATATTAAACCTTTATATCAGGTTACCACACTTGAACGATAAATTCAAAATTTAGTGGTTGAATATGAGAAACTTGCTGATATCAGATTACCAGCTTGTTCAAATACGGCAAACTTATTGAAATAACATATACAATTTTGGATCTTAAAGGTGTTTCTATTCTATCATTTTCTGGTGTTTTTGGATTTGTGAACAAACATCTAATATTATTCAAAATTATTACCCTGAACGTCCAATGCTTTTCTCTTCTGTTTAGAGTTTAATAGAATTTTACCATTGCTTGACGAGGTTACAACCGTCCAAGATCACAATTTTGAATCACAAGTATCAACGAATTTATTGAAAAACATTCCAGCTGAAAATTTACCGGTTGTTTTTGTGGACAATGTAATTGTTAATTTCTGATGATGGTCCATGGCAAGAAGAAAGTCAATAATTTCTTCTTATTCGTAGATTTGTCACTAAAGAATTAGCATTTTTATATTAAACAACTCTATTTTATTTGTATAGTTAATTCTTGATTATTATTATATAAAATCATTTATAATAATAATAATAATAATAATAGTTAGAGTCGTTAGAATTGTAATATTATTCATCATCATCATCATTATCATCATCATCATCATCATCATCGCCATCATCATCATCATCACCACCACCATCATCAAGCCTTTTTACAATTAACTTTCTTCGCGCCCATGCATTTACACGTTTAAAGCATAAGGCTATACCTCATTTTCAAATTTGTTTCTTAAATATTTAATTTTACAATTTATATTAATCCTTTATTAAACCATTGTAATTTGAGAATACATACTCGAAAATAAGCCTCTTGTACTAAGAAGGGGGTTACCCTACGGGTCAAAAATGGCTCTAGATCATGTTTGTAATTACATATACTATTATTATACACAATACAAAATCGAGTTCTTTTTTCCCAACAAAGAAAGGTCGAATTAAATTTTTTGTACTTTCCCATAACTTCTCTGGAATAGTGTCGGAGGATCCGTGAATACGTTACATTTCTATTATTATTATGATTAGATGAGCCGTGGGCCACCAATATGATGGTTTTCATGTATATATATATACCAAAATCGTGTAAATCTTTCTAAATATGGTAATTGCTAGTGGGAATTACAGGTGGAAAGATGTCACTTTCCGCATCAATATAATAATAATTTACAAAGAATCTTATTGACCGCAGTTGGTGTAACGAGTGATGATTTGTTCACGTGGTAAAATAACAATATATTATCCAAAAAAGTAAATGGAAAAAAACAATTTTTTTAAAAAAAAATTCTTTTCATTTTCCTTTTCAAATCAGCTCTTTATTGTTAATTTAATTGTTATTAGCCATATCAAACAAATATCAGCAATATCAACTACAACATTTACAATAAAAAAAATGAATTCTCTTGCTCATAATCCTCAATTACAACAGTATATTCAAATGCATCCAAATGCTCTGAGTGTGGGTGGTGCCAACAACCTGACATCACAACTTCATACAAACTATCATGGTTTACCAATGGGCGGTGGAGATCCATGGGGTGCCGCTGCTGGTAATCCAATACCTCTGTCAATTCAACAACATCAAAAATTTGCTCAACTAGAAGATGAAAAAATTTATATTCTAATCACCGAGTTAACAAATCCTAATAATCGTGAACAAGCTCTATTAGAGTTGAGCAAGAAACGTGAACAATATGATGATCTGGCTTTGATATTATGGCATTCTTTTGGTAAATTTTTTTAATATTTTGATATTTTTTTTTTTAATTAAATATAATAATTTAAATATTTATTTATTTAATCATTTATTGTTAATAGGTGTGATGACTGCATTGTTGCAGGAAATCGTTTCTGCATATCCACTTTTATCTCCTCCCACACTCTCAGGTCCAATATCTAATAGAGTTTGTAATGCTTTAGCTTTACTACAATGTGTAGCTAGTCACAACGAAACAAGAGGTCTATTTCTCAATAGTAGGCATTATTATCATCATCATTATTATTATTGAGAATATTTTAGTTTATGATTTATAATTAACATATTTTCTTTTTTTTTATATAGCACATATTCCATTATTTTTATATCCATATCTAAATACTACAAGCAAAACAAGACCATTCGAATATCTTAGGTTAACTAGTTTGGGTGTTATTGGTGCTCTTGTTAAGGTACATGATATATATATATATATATATATATTCAACAATATATATAATCTAATTAATTTGTTTATTAGAACGACAACCCAGATGTTATTTCATTCTTGTTGTCTACTGAAATCATACCATTATGTCTACGTATAATGGAGACTGGGAGTGAACTTTCCAAAACGGTAATTCTTTATATATCTATATTGATGTTTTTATTTTACAAAAATTTAATAATTTTACTATTAAAAAAAATTTTTTTTAAATTAAAGGTTGCAATATTTATTGTTCAAAAAATTCTATTGGATGATATTGGATTGCAATATATATGTGCTACATACGAAAGATTCTATGCTGTGAGAACAGTTTTGAGTAATATGGTTAACCAATTAGTGGAAACTCAAGCTGTTCGTTTATTAAAACATGTTATCAAATGTTATCTTCGGCTTTCTGATAATCCAAGGTATATATTTATTATTATAATTATATTAATAATTATTAACATATTTATTAATTTATAATGCTATTACGACAAATAGAGCTAGAGAGGCACTTCGTCAATGTTTACCTGAATCACTTCGTGATCATACATTTGCGCAAGCATTAAAAGACGATATAACCACTAAAAGATGTTTGAATCAGCTTTTACTCAATCTTTCAGAAAATATGCCTACCAATTGAAATAATTAAAACAATTGAAGTAATCGAAAAAGTGGAAGGAAATTAATTATCTAACTGGTATTTTTATAATTCTATTAAAAAAAAAAAAATAGAGTAGATTAAATTAATCTATTAGTTTGTTTGTTTGTTTCTTAATTGCTTCTTTAATTTAATTTCTTAATTTATTTAATTAATATTTAATTATTTGATTACTAATATATTAAAATATTAGAAGTTTTTTTTATTTATTTCTAAAATTCTATAAAAAAAAAATATTATATTTTCTTACATCC